CAGTTTTCACACTAAGCTGATACACTAACATCCTGAAACTGATTTTCTTTCTTTTTAAAAATGAACTTAAGAGATTTGAACATTTAGATGTGCTTCATTCCATTGCATTTATGCATGTTCAGATTTTCTCAAGTTTGGCCAGGGAGAATCTCTTCTGACTTGCTCTTGCATCCCTGTGACATTATCCTAATCTTGTGACTGTTTCCTTCATTCTTGGTATAACAAGATAATCAAAATTCGTCTTGTCTAATTTACGTCAGATCTGGAATCAGTCATTTGTCTAAGAAGTCTGGTTCCTTTGAACAGGAAATTGTTTTTTTCAGCATCATTATCTGAGTTCATTGCTACTGGGGTTGGTCCCTGGCTTCCTGGCCTTTTCAGTGTGTAATCCTAGGAAATACATATATATTTAATATGAAAACATGAGTTCATACAGTAAATCAATTGAAATTCAGGACTACAGGATTTTTTTTACTTAACTTTTTCTTACAATTTTCTTCCTTTCTCCTGCTTTTAAAAAAAATCCAGATTCTCAAGGATATCAACATTTACTTCATTTTGCAATAGACCACCAACAGTTTTATAATAACTATTAAATAACAGTGTCACCAACTGTGTGATTACTGAAAACAAAACGAATGCATGGAGTAGTGTCAGTTTTCTGTTATGAAGTCATTTTTAATCTCTGAATGGTAATGCTGTCAATTTTTTATAAAATTACAGTTACTTGTTTTGCTTTTGATTTCTAGGGATTTACTTTAAAATTTTAATTTTGTTATATAATTATGTAAAATATTTACATGGTTTGAAAATTAAAAGTGACAAAATAGGTTAAACCCAGAGTAATCTAGTTCCATTCCTGTTTACTTGACTTTGTTCAGTCTGTCCTTCCCAATACATGACATATTTTTTTGACCTTACAGTTTATCCTTTTAAAATGCATATCCATATAAATGGATATTATATTTATATCCCCTGTACTCTTCCTTAGATTAAGTCAAGGATGGGTACTCTAAGGAACTCCTGTGTGGGGTAGAAGGCTGGACTCCATGCTACTGGGGCCTTGTCTTAAGGTGTGTGTGTGTGTGTGTTTAAATTTGAGTTGTGCAACCATTACAATGATGTGCTGTTAGAACATTTTCATTTGTCCATTATGCTTATTTATGTTACCCCTGTTTCCACTGCCAGCCATAGGCAATCACTATTTCTGCTTTCCTGTCATTTCTAGACATTTTCTGTAAATGGGATAATATAATAATGTACTCTTTTACATCTGGCTTCTTTCATTTAGCATGTTTTTGAAATTCATCATGTTGTAACATGTACCAATAGTTTGTACTTTTAATTGCTGAACAGTATTCCATTGTATGAGCATACAGCTATTCAACAGTTGGTGGATGTTTGGATTGTTTTTGACTTTTTGTCTATTATGAATAATACTTCTGTACATATTCCCATACATCTCTTTATATGGACATTTATTTTAATTTCTTTCAGTAGGTTTCTAGGAGTAGAATTGCTGGTTGGTATGGTAAATGTATGTTTAACTTTTTAAGAAATTACCAAATCCAGTGTGGTTTACGCTTTTATATTCTCACCAGTTATATAGAAGGGTTCTGATTTCTCAACATCTTTGCTAATTGTTAGTATCGTTTCTCTTATTGAATTTATCCATTCTAATAGTTGTGTAGCAGTATGCCATGGTTTTACTTTCCTTAATAATATATTAAAGAATATATTATTCCTTAATAATATTAAAAATATTGAATATATTTTCATGTTCTTATTAGACATTCATATATTTTGTTTAGTGAAATGTTTTCAAATCTTTTGCTCCCTTTTTAAATTGAGTTATTTTTACTGATTTGTCGGAAGTTTTAAAACTACCAAATTGGAAGCCCTTTATTACATAAATGATTTGCAGACATTTTTTTTCCAAATCTGTGGGTTATCTTCATTTTCTTAATGGTGTCTTTTGAAGCACAAATTTGTCATTTTGATGAAGTCCATTTTACATATTTTTTCCCTTCTGTGTATTATGCATTTGATGTCACATCTAACACTTTGTCTAATCCAAACTCAAGATTTTCTCTTGTTTTCTTCTGGAATTTCACCTCTTATGTTTAGGTGTCTGTGATCCATTGAGCTAATATTTGTGTATGTTGTGAGGAAAAGATCTAACTTTGTGTTTTGTTTGCCTTTGAATATTGAGTTGTCCACATGATGTGTTGAAAATACTCTTGTTTCCTGTTGAATTATCTGGGTACTCTTGTCACACAAATGAGATGATTATAAATCTAAGAATTTCTTTCTAGACTCTGTTCTATTGATTTATATGCCTATCCTTTTTGCCATTACCATGCTGTCTTGATATACTATGGCTTTATTAAAGGTTTTGAAATTTGGTAGTGCAAATCCTCCAACTTTGTTCTTTTCAAAATTGGTTTGGCTGTTCTAGGTTCTCTCTGATTCCATACATAAGAGTTTTAGAATCAATCTGTCAATTTCTTTAAAAAGAGCCATCGAGAATTCTCAAGAAAAATTAAAAATTGTTTTTATTTAGGTGTAATTGTTATACACCACATCATATTCGTTTCAGATGTACAGCATAGTGATTTGACAGTTATCTACATTATTAAATGCTTACTCCAATGAGTATAGTTACTGTCAACATAGAAAGATACTACAATATTGACTATATTCTATATGCTGCACTTTTATTCCTATGACTAAATTATAGCAGATTTTATGCTTTGTCCCCTTTACCTGTTTTCATCCTCCTAGCCCCTCCCCCAAGGTGACCACCAATCTTTTCTGTTTTTGTGTGTGTGTGTGTGTGTTTAGATTCCACATATAAATGAAATCATACGGTATTTGTCTTTTCCTACTGGGCTTAGTACTTCACTTAGCATAATACCTTCTAGATCCATCCATACTGTTGCAAATGGGAGGATTTATTTTCCTTTTATGGCCAAATAATATTCTTTATCCATTTGTCTATTGATGGACATTTGGGTTGCTTCCATGTCTTGGTTATTGTAAATAATGTGGCAGTAAACATAGAAGTGCTGCACATACCTTTTCAAATCAGTGATTTTTGTTTTCTTCAGGTAAATTCCCCAGAAGTGGAATTGCTGGGTTGTATGGTAGTTCTTCTCCATACTGTTTTCCATGGTGGCTAAACCAGTGTATTCCCACTGACAGTAAAAGGGGTTTCCTTTTCTCCACATTCTTGCCAGCACTTATTATTTCTTGTCTTTTAGATAGTAGCCATTCTGACTGGTGTGAGGTGGCATCTCATGTGGTTTTAATTTGCATTTCTCTGTTGATTAGTGATGTTGAGCATTTTCTCATGTGTCTGTTGGCATCTTTTCATGTGCCTTTAGAAAAATGTCTCTTCAGGTCCTCTGCCCATTTTTATAATTAGGTTTTTTTTTGGTAGAGTTTTAAGAATTCTTCATAAATTTTAGATACTAGCTCCTTAATGGATATATCATTTGCAAGTATATTCTCCCATACAGTAGGTTGCCTTTCATTTTGTTGATGGTTCAGTTTAAGGAAAATTGCCATCTTGTTTGAGGCCTCGGTCTAACCTGGGCTTATGCAACCTCAGGCAAGTAAGAGTGAGCTGTTTGTCCTCCTCAACTGGGCAGTGTCTGAGAAGTCACCTCAATGATTACATCTTTGGGCCTACGCATCACCTACTATAGAGATGGAATGAACCCTTTCCAACCATAGCAGCTTCTGGTTCTCACAGGGTAATACTGGTAGAGTCTGGATGGTAGGGGAGAACTGGACAGACCCAGAGAAGAATACTACAGATTCTTACTGTCCTTACCTGAAATACAGCAGTTTTTTAAATATAAGTGCTTCTCAGATGGTTTGTCTTTGGTTGTGAAGATGACTTGTCAAAAATTTTCAAGTTTATAGTTGTTTTTAAGGGAGAGGATTATTGATTTCACTTGGTTATAGCAAGAACTACCTTACCTTATCTTCCATGTCTAAGTCTTAAGTGATGTGTGAGAAAATGGGTGTTGCTCTGATTTAATTACTAACCATTTGTTCTCATTTGGGAACTAAGGAACAGTTGCTTCTTTGGGGAGTAAGAGTAGAGAGAGGACTGGATCTAGTTGCTTTCCCCTTCTTGGCTCATATGTTGAGGTCATTTATAGTTTGGTATTTTACCAAGTCAGCAGACCACTTTCACTTTAAAACCGTACTGCTATACCTAGACTACTTGTCAATTGTAACCACGGTCATTTTGTATTCTGTCACAAGAATTTGAACCCAGTATTATGCTCCCTACTTTTTTTTTTTAATACATTTACACATACTTTTCCCATTGTCATTGTATTTTGGTTTTCTATAGGAGAAGAATTTGGGTTTGGTAGTACTCACTTTCTTTTAATAAATGAACAGTTCTTTTTCATCATACCTACATTTTGATCTTTTATTTCATTAGTTTATGATTAGTATAAATACAATAAAATGCTTTGAAATCATACTTTTTTCTGTGAGGATGCCTTTCTACTGATCGATTAATGCCTTCAAACTATAATAAGATGAGGGACTGTATCTTGCTCATCTGTTTCCCAGTGTTTAACACAAAACAGTATGATGCAGCATTATTGTATTGCATTAGGTTGAAGTCTCAAGGGTTTTATGCACAGTTTGTGGTGACTTATCTTCACCTTTTTATACTGTTTGGCA